CAATACTATTCACAGACCACATAAGAGCTATTACACGTACCGTGGCTGATTTGATGGGCAGTTTCGGGGATTTCAACAGCCAACTGATCGTCGTTGTAGACCTTCCGGTAGCTAGAATCGGCAACGTCGTCGTCTTGGCCTTTCATTGCCACCACCTCTTGCTCTTCTCCTCCTAAGAGCGTTGTGGTCTCCTCTTCCGAAATAAGCTGTGTCACAGCCAGCCTATACTCTCTTTCTTTCTCACGCTTCCTCTCTTATACGGCACTTTTCTCCTCGTACAGCAAATCGAAGTCCAACCCAAGTCGAAGAAATTAATGAAAACCAACAAATCAGGGCAATTTTAGATACTCACAGAGGCGTCCTCTCTCTCTCTCTCTCTCTCTGCAATCACAGTAACGAAAACAGCGACGGTGGCGCGCATTTTCTGGGATTGGTGAGAATGATTCTGTATGGGTAACTGAATTCGTATTGTCAGGTGAGTCTTGGGCTTCCTGTTGCAACCTTTTAGCCGTTGAATTTTGAATGAGTAAATTCGGTTTGTGAAGATTCAACGGATCGATTTGTGCCACGTTGGGAATCAAAATTGTTTGTTTTAAGGGGCACACGAATTAAAAAAAAAAAAAAGGTCAGGTTACTTCGACTTAATTTATTTATTTAATTATTTATAATTATTGAATTAATGGTAAACTCAATATTTATGAAGACTCCCAATCTTTGTAAATTTAAAATATGTGTAATATCATCTAATCCACCATAACATTTAGGATGAACGAAAAAAAATTATAATATTTGAATTTATAATATTTTATTTTATAATTTCACGATATTGCATTACCTGTTTATATAGTAATTTTTAGGATAAAATGCAAAAAATCATTTTGCACTAAACCTCGATCTCATTTTATAACTTCTATTTTTATGGGTTTCACTAAATTTCCTCTAACTTGTGAACAAATTGTAAATTTAACATAATTCATTTATTGTAATGGTACAGTAATTGCATGCGCTAATTAAGCACGTGTTATAAAATAAATAATTTTTTTTAATTAAAATATTAATTTTATCCTTCATATTCCTCTCTCGTTCTCTCCAAACTTGCAAATTCATTTTTGACCTATCAAACAATTTGTTTTATCAAATCTAAAGTCATTTTTGAACTTCTTGACCCCAAACTATTTAGATTCAATCCACATTTTGAAATGTTAACAAGTTTTTTAAAATTTTGATTTTCAAGTTTCTAAATCTGAGTGGTTTCTTCACCACACACACCTCGGCCGTGACTTCTAAGCACTCTAATACACTATATTACAACCCTATAACAAAACTCAAGCTCAATTGAAAAAACAATATTCGTTTGCTATATAACCCATTTGAAAATTCAACTATCACTTTAAGCTTCAAACATAAATTCAAGTACACACACAACATGAAATATAAACCTAATTACACCAATGAAGTCCTCATAGAAAAATAAGTCTGATAAGATCGTTTGCTAATTGTAGGTGTTGTTTTTTAAAGACATTTGTTGTACACTAATAGCATCACAAAGAAAATTCTATTGTAATCAGCGGTAGTTTAGTTTTGTTTGTACAAACTGTTATCTCTGTTAACATTTTTAATTTGTTTATAAGTTAGAGGGGGTTAAGTGAAACTCGTAAAAATATAAGGGGAGATTAAAGCTTAGTACAGTTTTTTTTTTTTGGCTTTTTGCCCTAATTTGTACATAAAACTCCACAACTTCAATGGATTAGGGTGACAAAAGCTTTCATAGTCTATGAGAGAATTTTCTCTCTTGAATATCTTAGTTTTTGTGTGGATAACCTGTCTTTAATCGAATTAAAGAAATAATTAGTCGAGATACACGTAAATTAACTCGAACATTGTTAACTGTTGAACTAAAAAAAAAAAAAAAAAAANTGACCCCAAACTATTTAGATTCAATCCACATTTTGAAATGTTAACAAGTTTTTTAAAATTTTGATTTTCAAGTTTCTAAATCTGAGTGGTTTCTTCACCACACACACCTCGGCCATGACTTCTAAGCACTCTAATACACTATATTACAACCCTATAACAAAACTCAAGCTCAATTGAAGAAACAATATTCGTTTGCTATGTAACCCATTTGAAAATTCAACTATCACTTTAAGCTTCAAACATAAATTCAAGTACACACACAACATGAAATATAAACCTAATTACACCAATGAAGTCCTCATAGAAAAATAAGTCTGATAAGATCGTTTGCTAATTGTAGGTGTTGTTTTTTAAAGACATTTGTTGTACACTAATAGCATCACAAAGAAAATTCTATTGTAATCAGCGGTAGTTTAGTTTTGTTTGTACAAACTGTTATCTCTGTTAACATTTTTAATTTGTTTATAAGTTAGAGGGGATTAAGTGAAACTTGTAAAAATATAAGGGGATAAAGCGAGATTAAAGCTTAGTACATTTTTTTTTTGGCTTTTTGCCCTAATTTGTACATAAAACTCCACAACTTCAATGGATTAGGGTGACAAAAGCTTTCATAGTCTATGAGAGAATTTTCTCTCTTGAATATCTTAGTTTTTGTGTGGATAACCTGTCTTTAATCGAATTAAAGAAATAATTAGTCGAGATACACGTAAATTAACTCGAACATTGTTAACTGTTGAACTAAAAAAAAAAAAAAAAAAAGATAAATGGTGTCCTCATAAATATCATGACCTTAAAAGTTTTTAAAATAAAAGATATTAAAAAACCATATCATTTTATATTAAAAAAATAGTGTATATAGCATCTATAAAAAAATGATAAAAATTGCATATATATATATTTTTTTATAAATTTTGTCTTCTCTTGTCCATCATTGGGACCATGAGTATGATAATACTATTGGTGGTGTTGTTTTATTCAATGGTGGTCATTTTATAATTTCTTTTTGATAATGGCCACTTCACATTTTGGAAAGTACTTGACAAGGACTTCTTACCTACCCAAAAAACAACAATTTTTCCAAGAACTTTTTTGTAAGGAGAGATACAGCACATCCAAAATATGAATATTCAATTTTTTTTTAACAATACATGATTTATTGATGATTATTAAAATGACTGCATTCACTAGTTTTATTTGGCGGTTTATAATTAATTGGTAATATAAAAAATTAATAAAAATATGGTATCATTGTTAAGTTGAATACTAGCTAATAGTTATCCTACATGCATAAAATCACCTCGTACATTCGAAGACATGATTTACGAAAATTGAGAAAGAATTATCTATTGCATCCTAGATCTCGTAAAGATAAAAATCTCGGGTATTGAATTGTCTTTTTTTTTTATTATTATTATTTATTAATCCCACACACCTTTACAGTACTATTGGGTTCAAATCTACTTCAATGTTATCTTAATTTATTTTATTTTAAACCACCGAACATGAGCTTTTTTGTATGTACGTCTTTTTCTACTACCCAAAAGAAAAGAATATTCTCAAAATCCTAAGTAACTTGGGCCTAGTTTCATTGGTCCTCATTTCCTTCTAGCCTGATGGAGATATTATTGGAGAAAGAATTCACAACCTACTATTTGGGAGTAGATGGAACATTAATGATTATTTGAATGTATGTCAATTAACCACCAAGTAGGGTGGTCTAATGGGGTACCGGTCTTATTTTTCACCTTGAGGTTAGGAGTTCGAATCTTGGAGTCTCTATTATGGCTTGTTGGTTTGTCGTTATGCTAGTCTAGGTAGGTCTCCTTCTAAGAGGTGTTCCAGGAGCGGTCAGGGGCTTTATGATCTCATCGGTGAGGACCTATCGGGATAGTCGTTGGGCGCTCTTTCTTACCTCCACCCCTTTTTTTCACCAGCTAAAACAAAAAATTAAGTTAGGACCAACTAAAATCTAGGTGGAGTTATTGGAGCCACAATTTAAAGATTTTGGCCCTCAAAGACAAGTTGGCCATCCTCGTGGAGATTCTAGAGCAGCTTTGTTAACATGTTGCTGAGTAGTAACAGTCGAACAAAGGAATTGTGAAACCATGCATTATCCTTCGGAATCTCATGTTACTGTTCTCCTCCATGGCAAAAAGCCACCAATCCATGGATGGGCTAAACTAAATATCTATGCTGTCAAGGTATAAGGTTCCTTGAGAAAAGATTTCATCCAAAACTCTCATTTCGTAAGCCAAATCAATCAATTTATTCCCAATACATAACCATTCCGACAAGGGTATTTGTCTGCAACTCCTAAAAGCTCTTTGCCTTAGGTTTTTGGGCAACTTAGAAGGGATAATTCCGTAAGTTAATGCAGCTATAAATAAAGATGGCAGTGGACTGAGGCGGGGGTGCGGATATAGTCTTCATCCCTGTATCTGCTTAAAAAAACTATGTTTATTCTCGGTCCATCCCGACTAACGAGTATATTTTTCATCTCGATCCCCGTTCCCGTTCGCAGGTAAATTTGTAATCTTCGCCCCCACCTTCACCCCCGCCCCGATCCACCTTACTTGGCCTATCCCAAGCCCAAGCCCAAGCCCAAGCCCAAGCCCATATAATTTAAAATTCTAAATAAATTTAACATTTTAAATAATTGAACATAATTATAGAATATCATAACATAATTAAAAGTTTGTCATTTACAACATAATATAATTAAAACCATGTAAATCTAATACAATGTAATGCAACACAACATAAGGTAACATAAAATAATCAAACATAAAAAAATACAAAAACATAAAGATCTATAGTTTTACAAGCCAAAAACATGAAAAAAGTCAAAAAATAAAAAAAAATTTAAAAGAAAAAATTATTTAATAATATGTAGATTTGTATTTACAACAACATATGTATTTATAAAATAATAATAATAATAATAATAATAATGGGTAAATCAGGGTGGGGCGGGGGTAAGTGTTAGTCCATCCCCGCCTTCATCTCCATACGGGTTTATATGAGTATTTTCGTATACGTCCACCGTCTAATACGTATAGTCCATCTTCGGTCTAAACGGGACGAATTTGGACGAATGTCCATTTT